ATATAACAACGTATGCTTACATGAGAAGACTAGGCACAATTTCGCCTGGCATGAATAATTTTCTTGCTATTAAAGTCATTTGACACCATAACATGCGATATGTGTTTTACAACAATGCATTTCACTTGAACTCTATATTAAAAAAGAAATATACAAAAAAAAATAGAAAAAAGAAAGGCAAAGAAAAAAGAAGAAAAGTGCATAAATACAAAGAAAAGAAAAGGATATAATGATAAGGTCTTCTTTTCTAAGTGTATGCCTACATCTGTATGTGTATATGTATATATGTATATATGTATATATATATACGTATATATATATATATATACGTATATATATATATATGTGTGTGTGTGGGGGGGGGGGAGGAAATGGCGAGTGTTCGGTGATTTATATGTATTTGCATCGAATTAACCAGAATCGTTAAGAAATGTATATAAGAGAGTGTGTAGTAGAAATGTTATGCCCAAGCCTAGCGTGTATGTTAAATGCTTTTGCTTGTGTTTACGTTTCTGTTTCTTTTGGTGTTGCATGTTAAAGCAACAGCAATAAAATCGGCATAAACAACGTACAACATCGTCTTTAGCCAACACATAATAAAGTTGTTAAAAGCGAAAAGTAACAGAAAACAATTTATGGAGAAATAAAAATAACTACATCCCCCCATCCACGTTTACGCATATATATATACAAATATACATATGCAGATATACAACATATTACCTTCCTATATATACATATATATATGTATATATATGTATGTGGAGGTAATATACTTTTATATCTATTCATATGTTGCTATATATGCTATATGCTGTATGTGTTCAAGCATAGCTCAATTGTGGAGTGCATAACTGCATACATATGCATGAATGTTACTTATGTGTGTGTGTGTTTGCGTGCGTACGTACGTACGTGTGTGTGTATTACATTTAACATAATCACAATAAATTTCAATTACGTTTGTTGTGTTGGCCGAGAGTGAGTGACTGAAAACGACTGCAACAACCCATAATGTTGGGAATTATGAATTCCATGCCAGCGCATTTTTTTAGTTGCCGAAGCAGATCATAATTTATACAGACTAGACAGACGCTGCCGAGTGCAGTGCAATATATTGCAGTTTAGTACTAGGCAAGCATTTTTAAGGTTTCCAGGGTGAAATGTATCCGACCAGACAGCCGTTAATTTAATAACAAGAATTATTTGTCTCTGGAGGCCTCCCGTATATAATATCCGAACTCTTTCGCTTATTGCTATTGCTCTTGCGGTCTTGGAAAGTGTGAATTAATGGCTTCATTACCAATCACTAGGCATTGAGTTATTGGTTTACACCTTGTCAGGGATTTACACCTACACTCATACACATATGCATACACATATAAATTCACTATATTTAAGCAAGCAAGCAAGAAAGCATCGCCATCGCCATCGCCATCGCCATCGTCATCGTCATCGCCATTATAAGCATTATATTATTTTGTTACAAACTTTTGGGTTAATAACTAATTTGATAAATTACAGGGTGCTAATGGTCATTTTCATTTATCGTTTGCACCAAACGGTTGTCTTCAACCAGATCCACGTATATATGTATATATATATACATATATAACGTATTTATGTTACTTGCTGATAGTTTCACATATTATGATTAGTTTGTTCTAATGAAATGAATTTTTCTCATTTATGTCCAACACACTTGTGGCTTTATGTGGCTTGACCCCTTTGAATAATTCTTTACATATGCTAGCCAACAACTATTGTATATATTAATGAAATTTATCTGATTATTTATCTGAAAAACATACACATACATACATACATAACAGACACATTTAAAGAGTTTTAAACCCTTACAAAGGTTAATATCCGTTTTTGTTCTCATATTTTATTCATTCCATTATAATTAAATAAATATATACTAAAACATTAAGATTAACTAATATAAAGAACGCTATCCAAACTAAATATTACATTAATTTATGTGTTTTGAAATATGTACGCATCTGAATATGAGCCGTAACGTTTAAAAGTTATGCAACAACCTAGTCCTCATTTCGAGATATTGAGATATGTAAGGGTTTACATTTAAATTTTCTTTTTTTTTCTTTAATATGTAGGCAATGTCTTCGTATTATGCTCGTAAATCCCTTGAATTTTGTTAAAGAACAATGATGCAAAAGAATGGTTCAAGGGATTTCAAGGGAAATTTGTTTTGTAGTTAAAAAAACAAAAAAAACCTTCGTGAAAGCCACATTTTAAGGGAAAGTAACTTATGAAAGAAGATGCATAGGATTTGGGCCAATTTTTCTAATACCCACTCCCCCGTAAGTTTGTATAACTATTACTTACGGTTGCTATTGAGAGCGAGGATTCACTTAGCAAATGTAAGTTGTATAGCAACCAGATAGCATATCTGTCGCATGTCGAATATCCTATATATATCTGAAATCATGTGCAACTTGGCAACACCCCCCCAAGTAATTGCATAAACTAAGGACATAAGGATATTTATCATATCCATGTGGTTCGTATTAGATTTAGAACTTGTTTAAAAAAAAGAGTGTAAGCAGAGTTATTTGCAAATACTAGTCTTTAAACTTTACACAGCCATATAACATACTGGAGTAGTTCTAGTTCTGTGTCAACAAAAAAAAAAAACGCCATTTCTCGGGAACTTTCGTTTTCTTGCTTAATTCGAACGTAAATGCTTACGATTCATGAGCAGTGAATTCGTCAATGCGAAATGCAAGGCCAAAATAACCATAACAATCAAGTTAAATATCTTTGGTAGTCATTATTGCACCAATAGCCTTCAATAGGAAAACATCCGACCCCATATAACAAAATTGACTCTGTAATTGGTTGCGGTTGTAACCTGGAACACTTTACCTTTTTTGCGAGCATCGTGGGTTTGAAGATATGACTCATTGCTTGCTCGAACGATGCTTCCACAATCCGCTCTGCATCACGTTCATGTTCCGCCTAAAAAATGAAAGAACCAATGGCTATTCTTGGACAATGCGTTGAACAAAATAAAGCCGGAAATTTTTTTATAATACCCCTTTAATTGTAGTAAAAAATCGGGGGTTTCTTGTTCACAAACATAATTTAAAAAAATAAAAAAAAATTTAAAGATTATCAGCATGAGGAAAATATTTATGTCGATTTCATTCTGTATATTTCAATGTCACTCTTGTCGGCCAGTCAATGAACAATTGATTGAAATTTAAAGCAAAACTAAAATATCAGACAGATTTTCGGTGTTTGAATATTGACCTAAATTTTAATTAAACGAATTTCCATCAGCGATAAGCTACTGATTCCCGATAAAATTGACCCATTTCGAAGTAAATCATTATTGGCGAAGCAAAATTGATAAAATACAAAGAAGTTGTTGGAGAAATTCGTCAGAGAAAAGTGAATCATCCAAAATCAGGATTGATGTCTTTTAGGATTACGCTGTGTATATGGTGCGATTGAAAGAAACTGAAGCATTACATATATATTCTCATCCTGTAGCTGAAAAACTGAGTCATTTTCGCAAATATCATTATAAATAAGTGGCAAACTAAAGGGCCTATCGATCAAAAATTTATTGCAAACTTAGACTAAAGCTATTCAAAAAGAAATATAGTCGTTTCCCTTTATAAGCGTAAAAAGACTGTTTGAAAAGGCCTTCATAACTTTCTTGTAACTCTCAACGAAGAATGAAACTATACTAGGTTTGTCTGTTCACTTGTAACTATAGCGAACAGTGTTCACTACAGGCCTTCATAACTTTCTTGTAAATCTCAATGAAGAATGAAACTATACCAGGTTTGTCTGTTCATTTGTAACGATGGTGAACAATGTTCATTAGAATCCCTTTAGGATGTATTAATACGTTCGCGTTAAGCATGAGGTTTTCAGTCCATATAATGATGTCTCTGTGTTTTTCTACCGTTGGGAATAGTAGAATAAAAAATTGAAACTTGGCAAACACATAATTAGCTTATGATCAGGGAACACATACCAAAATGGTCTTAAATAGCAAACGCAACCATTACAAAAAGTTGAAAGTTTGTATAAGCATTTGCGAGAGATTATCAAAATTTTTGTGGAGAAATTTCGTATGCTTCACCTACAAAGGTACCAATAATAGATAAAAATAAATAGTAAGTTATAGCGTACATAAGAAATATTCACTTGAAATATGGTATAGTAGATCTTAGTGGCAGCACTGCAAAAATGATCCCCATCGAATAATTCGTCTAATCGTTACATCTCGCTTTGTTGTGGTGAACATCAAAAGTTCGCCTGTAGGGTTAATGTAGTTTTCTTCTTTGCATTAGTTTTACTAGCTTTTGACGAATCGACATTAGCCGAACTTCACTCAAGTTTGCATTGGATCAATGAAGCCGCTCCGAAGGTATACACGTCAAGTTCTAATTTTATAACACAATTCTTGCTGCATGCTAAATGATCGATCTAATAGACGAAACAGCTTTTCCTAATAACTTTGAATTTATCGATTATTAAACGAATAAAATCTGTCATATGGAATGTAAAAACTTAAAGAGAGAGAGATAGAGATAGAGGGAGTTAGATGTAATCCAAGGTATTGCTAAGAGGAAAGACGAAGTAAATATGCTTAATATACATGTAGTTCGCATACAAACTACTGAGACTTTTCATTCCTGAAATTTGTCAGTTAATATTCAACTCATTTGCTTACACGTTCTCACACATGCTAATTAAAATAGATGATTATTAGTATTTATTGCAGGCACAAGAGTAAAAATTTATTCTCGACACGCAAAGATGATTAATTTGGTTGTTTGCTTAGAGACCCTTTTCTTGTTTCACTATATACAGAGAGAACTAAATAAATATTAATTTATTCATCATCATAATTAATGATTTGATAGTTGTTATACTGCCTTAGCTGTGAAGCGTTGTAGGCAAACGTTCGTTTTTGATAATCGGAATTTTTTTCTTCTCTTCTCTTCTTTTAGGTTTTTCTGGTGACGGTGACGATGAAAACAGTGCCTCCTCAAAGCGTCGTAGATCCCGTACGAATTTTAATTCATGGCAATTGGAGGAGTTGGAGAGAGCCTTCTCGGCCAGTCATTACCCGGATATCTTTATGCGTGAAGCTTTGGCCATGAGATTGGATTTGAAGGAAAGTCGTGTTGCGGTAAGTTTAGATTTTTTCTCGCATTATACTATGATAAATATGTTTATTAAAATTTCGCAACGAATGACTCAAAGAACTGTTGTGTGTTTTTGTCTTCACTTCGCTTCGGTCTAAAGGCTGCTATATACTGTCAAAGGATCCTTTTTTACTTGAACACAATATTTTTCCTATCGAAAATTCCTTTTCTATGTATATGTTATTGATATTATTTCTTCAGTTAACTTTACTTACGTTACCGTCAGAATTTGGAACACATTAGAAAACTATGTATTCTGTGGTCTCCTAATCTTTTATATTCACTGTATCCTTATTTAAAAAAAAAAAGTTTCGAAAAAAAGGATAAATGTTAAATTTTGGTGGGCTTGGTAGCGTGGGATCACTTATAGAGTAAAAGTGAAAGTTTCTTTCATTAAAATTCTCTCATTACAATTCTCTCGTTGCAATTTATGTTATGACAAGTGAGTAAAAACCACAGAGCGTGAGAATTTTTCGTCGTCCCTTGTACCGATTTGGCTTTCTATCAATATTAGCCTATGTGCAAGAGCTTTCCATGTTTCAATTTGGTGCTGCGGTACCTTCACATATAGGACCGCGAGGTTGTATAAAACAAACATTGTACGGACGAAAGCGTTGCTTGTTGTAATTGCTTAATAGACCACCATTGGGATTACGAAGGCGTTTACAGGGCCTACAATCGTTTGCACATTTTAGTGAGATTATTGCAATTTCAGAAGACTTTCTTACTTAAGCTGATGTGTCATGCTGCCACGGGTAGTCATCTCAGTCAAGTTGCCTAGGCGCTCCTCATCTATTTACTTGCTTACATAATGCTAAGTTCTAGACGATCACGTGCGTATTGATAATTCTAAAGAGCTATGTAATTCGATACCTAGGTAGCGTCCTTGCTTGAAATCAACTTCAATAAGCAAGAAAAATGTTAGAGTCGCGGGCGGGCAACACTGCAGTATTCCTATATATAAGGATAAGTCATTGAGTCTTGAGTGAGACGGCGATTATAGTGAAACAGAAGTTTCCACACTTGATGTCGGAACATGCCAGCTGTCTTCAAGCACAACGGTTTTATGTCCTGTGGTTATGATATTGTGGTTATGTAAATACCCTTTTATTTGTTAATGCAAAGTGAATTGGGATTTGATCTAAAGTCGAAAGTGCGATTCCCGATGGAATTGCTTGCAGCCTAAGAGCTATTCGTGTTATAAATACAAAAATTTGACCGCGTCTTTAAACATCACCATTCTTCCATCTTTGTGGAAAATCGCTGTCAGTATGCCTTCGTACGAATGAGAAAATAATCATTGGTTACTGTAGTGGCCCAACCAAACTTGGTATTTTAGTCGATTACTCAAGGCATCATGTAACTTTGTTGACTTTCTTAGCTTAACGCAGGCTTAGTTAGTTGTTAGAAGCCGTTCATTCCTAGCTCATTTCTTCGAGTGAGTGTGATAACGTACCCGGGAAACCTTCCCAGTAAACTCCTCTAAACTAACGTCATCTATGTATATTTTAGCAAAGATAATTAATTAAACTTCACTGAGCCTAAAGCTGCATCTAATTGAATTTCCATTTCACTTCTCCCACAAAAAGTTTTCATTTTTTTTAAATTTCATCATTACAGAGATTATACCTTCGCATCCAATGATGTGCCTTGTATTAGTCACCTTGAATATACTTTCTTTAATCTTTTTAAATTTATTTTAATGATTTTTAATTTATTATATGACACTACATTATGTTGATAGCTGTGAACCTTAAGCCGGCACTAATTCATTCAAACTGCTATAGCAGCTCTACTGACTCCAATTCGTCTTAAACACTCTCAATATGTAAGAGTTGACTTTCTTTGACAGCAACTTTTCTTTCGGCAGTTTGCAATGTCTGGGGCTTTTGCCTACGTCTGTGCTTTCTGTTTGACAATGGGTTCTGTTTTATACAAAATACACTTAATACGACAAGGAGTTTTGTTAGTTTCATTAAATGTCGATCTTATGATCTTTACATTGCCGAAGAAAAATTTTTGCTAAAACTTGGTTATCGCTTCACGTCATCTTGGTTGAGATCCTAATTTAATTCTACCATTATATATACTCTAAAAGCAAGTTCGCCCCGGCATTTGGCAACTCTGTTCAATTTCTTCAAAAAGTAGCATTCAGCTGGCGGTTTTGTTCAATAAAATTGTGAGTCTCCTTCCTCCTTATTAAAGATGATACAGCACATCTTCTTCTCCTTATTGTCCTGTCTTCTTATTTTGCCTTAAGTTAAACTTTCTTCTTCGTCTGTCGGCATATAAGAAACTAATTAATTATTCCTTAAGTTTATAGGAAGGGTAGATAAATCATATCTTGCTGTCTCTTTTCTACTCGTCCATGTACTATTTTTTTTATTATTTTACTGTATATTTACTATCATTCTCATTATTAATTTTTTAATACTAGGGGGCCATTTATGTAAAATATGAGTGACATGTATTATAGAAATAATGATCTGTTTATTTTTTATATACCTTTTGACTTTTTTTTGCTTTTAATAAGAAATTATATATAAATCGGAAAACAAATATTATTAGGCTAGGAATTATTTTAAAACTATACACTTTGTTTCAGATAGGTATGGTTCCAGAATCGACGAGCCAAAGTTCGAAAACGTGAACATACAAAAAAAGGTCCAGGCCGACCTGCACACAATGCGCAACCTCAAACGTGTTCTGGTGAACCAATCCCGCCAAATGAATTGAAAGCGAAAGAGAGGTAGGTTTAAGATGAAAAACTAAATATCCGAAAAGTTGTATTCGGGCAAGATCGACTGTCGAACCCTACACCCATCCCTTCGATTAATATAATCTTTAAATTACTTTCGCCATAAAATATCAAAAATCAAATTCGATAACAAAGTAGTTATTATCATGTAAAAGCTTACCTCTGATGAGTCGCTTTATATGGAAAGGCGACCAAAACATGATCGGTTGGTACCAATTTACTAGATTTAATTGACTTGCCAAAGAAACTTATTATTCTTCATATATTTTCGTTTCAAAAAAAACATTAGATTAGAATCGACAAAAATTTAAATTTTGTTAACGTACGTACGTAGGTTTAATTGTCAGGATTATATATGGGGAAAGTAGTCCTATACACTCCAAATTTACCAAAGTCAATTTATTATCTGTCAAACCCATATCTTATGATCGAATTTCAATTAAAGACTGAAAAGTTCCATTTTTCAGTGGGGGACTTATTTGACAGGATTTTTTTTTTTTTAAATACCAAGCAATTCAGGCCTTTGTTTCCATAATCTCTTCTTTTCTTTTTTAAATAAGTCATTATATGGAAAGTGATTGTATTAATATAACGGTCCGCTCCAACGTGCTTTCAACAGGGTTCCTGTTTGAAGAAAAACGTGTCAGCGTTCAAATTCTCATAAAAATATTATGAAAGGAGCAGACGGCAGACAGACGGATAGACGCGCTTAAATAGATACAAAAAATGATTTTAAACCAATGGCCACATTTGTCTTCAATCTTTCCACATGTTGTATACATTGAGAGCATAAGTGGTGTAGGGTATAATTACCATGTGGTATATAGGGTGAAACAAGTGAAAAGAAGTTTTCATATATCGAATTTAATGAATCTGAGGGCGTGTGTTCCTTTCCTAAATTTTACTTACAGAGCGAGACGAAGGAAAAAATTGGCCAAAGCTATCGACAGGCAAGCGAGAAAACTGCAAGCCAAAGGTATTACTGTAGATTTAGAGGCTCTCAAGGCTGAATACATATCACAACACAAAGCCAATGGCACTTTTTCCGATTCAGATCTCGAAGACGATAGCATACAAATCGATGTTGTTGGAGGCACTGAAAGCGATGATGATTGCGATGACTTATCATCGTTTCAAAGTCCACGCAGCAGCAGCGATCATCTAACTAGTAGTAATAATAACAATAGCAGTCATCATCAATGCTCGTATACGCCCAGTGATAGTCCGACCGGTATTGGCAGTCCGCACTCTCAACACGACGTTAACGATGAAGCCAATGAACCGAATATCGGTGGTTCACCAGATGGTTGTGATAAGGCATATTTATATTCTCCTAAAGCGGTGGCAGCAGCGGCAGCAACAAGTTTCCATTTAAATCTTCAAAATACTGTTAATATCTCGCCCAATCATCATCATCATCATCACCATCATCATCATCATCATCATCATCAACAAACTTCACCGATTAGTTTAAGACGTAGTAATCCGTTTAGCATAGAATCTTTGTTATTTAACAATACATGAGTTTTGTAGACATAAATAGTTGAATAAATGAGGAGAGGAAGAGAGAAAGATTTTAGAGATCCCCGAGTACTCACATTAGAAGATCATTACAAATCATTTACGATATCTCTTGCAATGTGCAGAGTGTCTACATGGGCTACAATAAATTTAATGTGCTATATGAAGAGAGAAGCAATTATTTAGCGCCATTGAATTGCGTTTTACACAGAAAAGGCCTCAAAATGTGTACACACACACACACATACAAAATGAGAAAATAAACTAAAAAAAAAAAAAAAAGAAATAAATAAATAAATACAAAAAAAAAAACAAAAAAAAAAAAAAAAACAAAACAAAAAAACAGAGAAGAAAACACAGCACTCTGATAGGCGGCGGCGGCGGCATGCGTGTTCACAACGAGGGAACTAAGAACTCCGTACATTACGTTCCACATTAAATTTAATGGTAAAAAATTCAAAACAACAAATTGCGCAATATTAGGATAATTGTACAGGCACTTGAGTGTTGTGCACGTTACTTTTTGATTACAAGAGTATTAAATTTAATTAATAAACAACACAAACACAATTACACACGCACAAGTACACGCACATCATAAATGCTCGTCAAATTTCTATATACACGTACCGATGCGTGTATAAATCTTCATTTTTAGGAGCTTGTTTCATCTTCTCTATATACATATATATATAGTGTAATCGAGCTAGATGAGAAATAAATAATGGGTTCTTGAACTTCACACGTTGATATTTTAGATTACTAAGGTAGAAGGCGAAGCGTGAATTTTTCTTTTATTTATTTTGTTACGCTTTTACGGAAAATTTTTAAAATTTTTTTTAATCATCTTTTCTTATTTCTATCGAAATTAAATATTAATTAAAATATTAATTAAGAATTTTTGATTGCAATTAAAATTTCTTTACTTGCTCATGTGTTCAACCTATTCATGTTGACCAATGTCACAACAAATTATGTGTGAGGAGGAACTAATTTCGTTATTAAATTTTGTTTCTGTCTATCTTTAGCGTCATATAAATTCTATCAGGTCACGTCAGCATTTCTAACCACAATTTTGAAAAAGCTTTTAAGACAAACTATCTGGAACACCCTCTTTTTTGGGTCTTTGAATTTCGTTTTCTTTATCTATATGAAGCGGGTCCTGCAGCAATTGTCCGGAGCACATAACAACAACAAAAAAAAAAAAAACCGGCGCTTGCTAAAATATAGTGCGAGATTTAGTTTGATAGTTTGATTGCATAAGATCGTACTTGGCTTTTGGTTAATAGTGTTTATCTCTGAAGAGATCGAAGCGTGATTACCGTGACTAGATATCGATCAGTATTATGATCTTGACCTGACCTCTTGTTACCTCACACAGTCACACACTAATCGCAGATGCCATTAAAAGTTTGCTTTTTCAGTGATTTGAGCACTGAGCTTGACTGGAGCAAAAGTATATTTATCTCCATATTTCGAATTCTTAAGTGAGATCGATCGCCTAAGTTACCAGCAATTCGTTAACTCTGCTTTAAAGTACAACCACACAAACTTTCTGCAAACGTTGTCTTTTTCTAGTACGAACTCTTTTAAGTATGAAAATTTCTGTGAAGCGAGCAGATTGAAAACGCTTACTGTAGATATATATATGTATGACGGCCGAATGTTTTCTTTGATATTGCTTTCATGTTCTTTGTTGTTTGGGTTTTTCTGTTTTTAAATTTCAAGATTGAAGAACTAAGCGGAAATGTATATAGAACACGTTATGCAAAATTTTAAAAAGAAAGCAAATCTGACGGGAAGAAACTTAGAAAGTATGAGAATTTCAAAGCTTAAATATGGCATAAATCCGAAAATCATCAATGCAATAAAATGTCAGATAACAAACATATACACACTTTATAAGTTCATAGGCTAACATATGTATAAGCGATGACCAGTGACGAATCCATGTAAGTTGTAGGTATTACCGACCTTTAAAAGGAATGTGTACACATACCGTAACATTACTGTTATTGAAAGGCATCGCCAATAGGTGGCGACATGTATGAGTCATTCTACGAACTTATTGAATTATGTGTTAAGTTCGTCCCTCAATTTGAGAAAATATTCGCTCTAGTGTGAATTTAGTTTACCCAATTGATCGGTTTTTATCAACAAGGAAGTACACGTAAACTTATACAAATTCATCAATTCTCCTTTATCTTCTCAAAAGTAGTAATGCCTTCGAAATTGCCAAGAACAAAAAGACAAGATTTCTCTGCTTCTAATTGACCTTAGGCGAGTAATGGAGTCGTCTTAGTTGTATAGATATTCCTTTGTTTGCCTGTCTCTCTATTCGTTCGTGTTCTTAGATCTTGCATTAACCGATTTGATCGTAATGTTTTTTTCTTTTTTTTCAATCTCTCTTAACACGGCTTCCCGTCATTTCTTTTCTTTTGTTGTTGTTGTGATGATAGATCATTTAATTCAGATCTCTAGCTTGGATCTTATATGTTTCCTTAGTAAAAATGTCGTATGAAGTTAGCACATCACTTAGATAAGAACAGGTATTCGAAAGTGTGTACCAAAAAAATTTCTATATTATTTAATAAAATTCGATTATGTGCGATTTTCGTTTATTGCGGTGCAAGACGTATGTACAAGTTTTCGTAATTCTCCAGTATTTTCTCCAGCTTTTAAATATAAATGTAATCGCCGTTCAATTTTTAAGCGTTTTTTTTATTTTTTTTTTTTATTTAATTAATAGTTTATAATTTTGAGAGCAGTGATTGAGATTTTATAATTTTTAATTCATAATTAATAAAATTTTCTTTTTTGGCTAACAATATCTAACAATTTTATCATTTAAAGTTTAAGCCGATTGATTTTCTTTGCTTCGTCTGCTGCTACAACAGATGCCATTGATTTATGTTTAATTTAAAAGTATATTTTAAATCCAGACCAGAATATGAAAATCATATATAAATGCAATAGTCTGGATAGATTGTATGTATGCATATGGAGTAAAGGCCAACAAAATGATTCGACTCACACCGGACTTACTATATATATATATATATATATATATATTTTGGTTTGAGATGTGTTCTCTTCTTTTCTTTTTCCTTATTACTTTATATGCTGATTTTTTATTATTTATTGTGGTGTATCTCTGTCTGTCCTTAATTACCTATACTTCTTCTCCTTCTTATTATTATTGTTATTATTATTATTATTACTTAACTTAAACACGAGTATACTTTTACATCCATACAACAGTTTAACTGTTTCAACATTATCGCTTGGATAAAAATTGTATCTTACTTTTTTTGTGTTCTGTTTTTTTTTTATTTTTTTTTATATATATAATCACCGGTGTGTGTGAACTGTAATTAGGTTTTATTTGTTATCTGCATTCTCTCTTATTCTTCTTCTCCTTTTTCCGTTTCATATTCGTTTTCATTATTGTTGATGTTATTATTCTATTAAGTACTTGTGTGATTTATTCTTACAAACATTGGTAGTGAATGTTGTTATTGTATTTATTTACATGCTTTTCTTAGGCTATCATGCTATCGTCGGAAGCAACGAGACGAAGTTAACTTGTCTTTTCCTATATATTCTTGTACTCATGTAAAGTGTGTATATGTAAAATTGTGTTTCCTATTTTGCAAATTTATATGTTTGTATTATAAATGCATATATTTACGTATGTATGCTCTATGTATAGTGTTATGTTCATATAATAATTCATTTGTAATTATTAGAGAGTATATAGTTATTAAAAAAACAAAAAAAAAAAAACAAAAAAAAAAAGCAAAGGAGGAAAAGAAACTTTACAATAACAATACAATAAAAATATGTAAATATATAATGAAGTGTAACAATTAAGATCAAATTAAAAAATTAACATAAAAATTAATTAAATATTATGAAAATATATTAAATAAATGAAAACTATCGTGTTTTATATCCATGTACACACTTTACGGCGACTACAGCACGTAAGTAAATAATGATGACGATGATGATGAAAAGACTTCAACCTATTTTTATGTACGACGGCGAAATGATATTCAAGAGTTAGACATTGGTTGACACTTTGCCGTACAACTTCATTCATTAATAATCGCAGCAATATTCTCGCTATCGTAGATGCTATAGGTTTGAAGAAAGCTTGTGGAGATTATATTTAGATCTTATTTCTATTTAGGAGTTTATATCACCTTTAAAGGATCTTTTAAAAGAAAGAAAAATATGTTAACAAATTGTTAATTAGCATGGCCGCATGGCCGCATGGCCGCATGGCCGCATGGCAGGATTATAAATTTTCAATGGAGACTGACTATGGAATAGCTTTACAATTTCATATCGTCATATCGACAGTGGTAGCGCAGTAAGTGCGGAGCATATACAAATTCAAGTGCTTCTAACGGTTCCTTGACGCATTTTGCCTTTTTTTTTTTTTGCCAATCATTGTAATGCTGAAAAATCATCAATCTGCACATTATGGCGGTTCTTCCTTTAACGATTGGCTGAATTTCATTAATTATTCGCGGTAACGTTCCTCAGTAATGATTTCGTTAAGTTTGAGAAGTTCGTCCGTGCAGATAAAATAAAAATCTATAGCCAAAGATATTCGGCTTCGTCCTCGACGGTGACATTCAGTCGAGTTTTAATCTTTATATTTACAGCTTTCAATAACATTTGAAGCCCTTGATTTTCAGTAACTCAAATTACTCGAAGTGACCTGTTCTTACGCATAACTTGGATATGTGGATATAAAAGATTAGCTTTTATGGTAATTCTCCAGGTCAATTTTAGTCTTGTAAATTAAAAGGTTCCAAGGTAATAAAGCTTAAATGCGTTAATGGTTACACATTACAGTTACATAATAAATGTATTAAAAGGGATATATAGTAATTGAATAGACGGGATTAAAGCTAACTATCGCGAAATTTGATGCAAGCTAAAACATGCAAGTAGTTCCGTGAATGTTGAATAGAATATATATACTTGTGTGCCTATGCATGTGTGTGTGCATAAGTACCTCCTATCAAGGCAACGATTAGCTGACATTTATCGAAAAGCCTATTGGCCGATATTAAGTTTTGCTGTCTACGCGGATATACGAAATTATATTGTCCCACCATCTTTAAGATGACATAGGCATACAGATTACGAAATTCAAGCCATCATCCTCCTCGGCCATTTTCTCATTTTGGTTGCTTTACAGTTAAAAAAGAGTGCCCTATCAATTCGTTGCGTAACTCTACTTATGATCATTATGTTGC